ACTCCTCTGCCTACCGGTCACTCGCTCTCAGCTCTGCCTTCGGATGAGTCCGTAGAGCCGAGTGGCCCGTATCTAGAGCTTGTGGGCTGCCTCATGTACCTGATGACCTGCACTCGACCTGACCTTGCATACCCCCTTAGCATCTTAGCACGCTATGTCGCTCCTGGCCGTCACAGGAAGGAGCACATGGATGCTGCTAAGAGGGTGTTGCGCTACTTGTGCAGTACGTCGGGCATGGGGCTTGTGCTTGGAGGGCGAGACCGGGTTGTTCTCACAGGGCACTCAGACGCTTCTTGGGCAGACGACCAGGCTACTCAGCGGTCGTCACAGGGTTACACCTTCAGCCTTGGCTCTGGCTCAGTTTCTTGGCGTTCTACTCGTTCGTCTTCTGTTCTCAGCTCCAGTTGTGAGGCTGAGATCTACGCCACAGCCATGGCTGCTCAGGAGCTGCGCTGGCTGACCTACCTGCTGACCGACCTCGGAGAGCGGCCTCGTTCTCCTCCAGTGCTGTACGTCGACAACAAGGCTGCCATTGCCTTGTGTGAGGAGCACAGACTGGAGCACAGAACGAAGCACATTGCCCTGCGGTACTTCCTTGCTCGAGAGCTGCAGCAGCGCGGTCAGCTTCGTCTGCGTTACGTGGCCACTGAGGCCAACACTGCGGATGTGTTCACCAAGGCACTTCAGCCTTGTGACCATCAGCGCTTCTGTACTCTGTTAGGCCTTGTGCCTACTGGGCCTCACTTGCTCACTTCTTGACTTTGCCTGTACTGTGATCACTATATATTTATATACCTGCATGTTTACTCTTGCTAGGTTGTGATCATTGTACGTCTTGCTCTATTATAAACCTGCATGTGAACTGGTCTTGTGACCGCTTGCTTGTGCTCAGAATTTGTGTGGAATCCTCGAGATCCACCCTGAGCTTGTTTGCCTTGCTTTGCCTTGACTGGTCTTGTGACCCTTAGGTCTCCCCCACTTTGCCTATGGGGGTGTGTCAAACATTATATATGTTGGGTTTGTTAGGCTACAGTGGGCTAGACTATATGGGGTACACTATTCTAGGGTTTGTATTTGTACTGCCTTCCCTGTTAGTTCAGTCATTCCAGTCTCGTAATCTTGACACGAAGGACCTGCTCTGATACCATGTCAGAATGAACGAACAGGAATGATTGAACTAGCAGTGAAATGAGTACAAGTACCTAACCCTAGAATTGTGTACCCCCTAAAGGCTAACCCACTGTAGCCTAAACAACCACAACATATATAATGTTTGACAGAAAACACTGCGACGTCTCACCACGGTGCAAAATCTCCAGAAGAAGTATATTGACCATCAGCGACGTAATCTGACACAGTCACAGTCGGGCCTGATCATTTTTTAATGCACGCAAGGTGGACTTATCTCACCACCCGTCTGAGCTTCGACATTGCTTCAGTGGTCCCTTTCGCGTCGAGACGATGATAACACCCGTTACGATACGCTTGCGCTTTCCAACCTACAAATACCCCAATCAGCACTACCAGTAACATCAGCTACCACCACCCCCACCTGTTCTCATACAGGATGAAGCAGATACGAGGTGGAACGTGTACTTGCGCATAGATGCCAATGCGGCAACACGCCCAAATTCATGATTCGGTGGAGTGGGTACAAGTCCTTTAGAAGACAGTTGGGTTGTAGAAGCAGATATGGGCAACGAACGCCGCCCTCTCCGAGATTATCTTATCAAGTAGGGTGTTTCTCATTCCACCCAGATTTGAGGGGGGGACGTGTGAGAGTACGCCGTCTGTTTTACATTATTTCTATTTTCTGTTTAGCAGAACCTCCCTAATTTCGTTCCTTTAATATTTTATCATAGTTATTAGACCGAATAGGATTGTGTGCACATAATTAATCTTGCTTCTGAAATTGTCTCGCGTGACCTAGCGTGCGCTTGATCATCACCAGTTTCCTATACCAAATCCGAGAAGGATATATTTTCGTCGATTGTAGATCGTCGAAACGTTTTTGCAACATCTTGGTTACCTGCCTTGTGGCACGCCTATATATAGCCTTGTGTTGTACCCAGGATTCATTATTGAAAATACCGAACTGAGTCCTTCAATCCTCACATGTTCTGTCGTTACCTGCTTTGTCGTCTCTTTCCTCTCTTATTACCGAACCTACTGCTCTTCCCCAGTCTATCTGTGCTCTTGTTGCCGGTGTCGCTAACTTCGCTTCCACCAGCCGCTTTGACTACGCCACTTAGTTGGTCTCTGCTCCTCCCATCCTTCATCCATCAGGGGTGCTCCTGCAATCGATTGCGATGTCCTAGAAGACAGGCTGTTCGAGCCGGCTTTCCTTGCGGTCGCTGCTCCTCATATATGTGCCATGTTGCTAGCCCATGAGGGTGATCCAGACACTTTTGACATCCAGGACTTTTGCACCTATGCTATGACAGTTTTGGTTCCTCTTTGTGGATAGCAGCCATGGACACAAAGACGACATCTTGGAAGTCCACTTGAACCTACATTGACGCAGTTCTCCTCTGGAGGTAAACGTTGTCGGTGACATGTAGATCTTCAAGGTGAAAAGGCCACCTGGAGCGTTGCGTGCTTTCAAGGCGCGAAATGGGGTAGTCTTCTTTCATACCTTCTCCTTCTTTGGGTACTGCTGTACATCATGGCACAGCGCCAACAACGAGCTCCACTCTCCATTGCTTTCTTAAGAGCAGCTTGCATCACCAGATTTGGCTGCGCCATCCGCCTGGCTTCACCGAGTCCTTCCTTGTAGGAACTTAGCGGAGTCTTCGACATCCCGTCTATGGTTCGCGCCAGGCGCCTCGTGAATAGAAAGACAAGTTACGTACTACTCTGGCTGATCTCGGTTTCTTCCCGTCTTCTGCTCATCCTTCACTCTTTGTTCATAATGGCACAACGCCGTTTTATATCCTCATCTACGTCGACGATCTTGTATTCGCTACTCCAAACAGAGTCGCACTGGCCTCAGTGAAGGCCAAGTTGTTAAAGCCAGGATTTCAAGTATGAGATTTGGCCTTCAATTGCAAAACACTTGCAGCTCTCGTTACCCTATTTATGTAGGCGAATTTACTGGCTGGTTAGGAAGTTGAGTCTGCGACACACCCACTTTTGTGCCCCTGGAGCAAATGCAAAACAGATTGCTGGTACATGAGATTGTTTGGGGGTGACGGGAAATTGTAGGTGTTGGAGCTTCGTCACCGAACCAGATTCTGTGCCTCCCTGGTTCGGACTCGAACTTGCGATTTGTCTTCAGTTCGCACCCCTCGCTTCACCCCTCGTCAGACTATCCACCTCGTTCACCAATCACAGCCAAGCCCCCCTCACCAACTGCAAAACAATTTATTTACTTGAGATACTGGCTTTAAGAAGACACACTTTCATCAATCTATGTAAGTTGCGCCGAATCGTGGCCTGCAGATCACTAGGGACAGAGGAGCTTGCACAATAAGTCAGTCACACATGGTGTAGCAGGTCCTCCAGCACGTCGGACTGATCTCCATTGCACAGCCCACCCTTCTGCTTGCTGACCATAAACTTTCGGCCCCTGTCCCTGACGAGGCAGTTGAGCCCAGTGTTCAGTAGTCAGAGCTGGTGGGATTTCTCATTTACCTGATGACCTTCACTCGCCCAGGTTTCGTTCTCCGCATCCTTGCTTGATATAAGACACCAACTTTAGCAGCGGTCGGATTCTAGAAGGTATTGCGCTATTTGGCGAGTACAGCGGGCATGTAGCTTGTGCTCAGAGGGCGACAACCAGTTGTACTCTCTAGTCACACTTACGCATCTTGGGCAGAGGATATGAATGAACTTTGACTTGTCACAACTTTTTTCATTTGGTACATAAGAGAACCAGGTACGTACTACGCAACATTATATCAGATTCTACGAGCACGTAAGGTTTTGCATCTACAATTGTTCCTTACATTTCATACCTGTGCTATGAAATAGATATCAAGATCCGTTCTCAAGAAATGAGATATTCCTTGGTGATGGTGGAGAATGGTGTGTAGTTGTATGGAACATTTTCATAGTGCTGTTATGGCAGAACGTGTCTGCTCAGGCCATGAAATGAATAACGGGTCCTACTTTATCTTATCTGCTCAAACACTGTGTTCCCACCCCATCACCTGCTTGGCGTTTCAGATGAGAGTCGTACGCAACCGCCGAAGCGCAAGCCCGCGTCAGTTCTCGATGTCAGCAGCAGGCTGGATCGTTTCTTCCCTCCGTTTTCCACCGTTCCCGCGTCAGGTTCTGTCTGTCACCTTGAACTGGTCAGCGGTCACCCTCAAGGGTCATGTCAAACGGAAACATGCTCGTGTCTGTGCGATTGGGAGCTGATGATCTATCTTACGGTTACGATCGTCTCCCTGAACCAAGGCTGGGCAGGGCTGCTTCCCCAATCTCGGGAATGCCTCAGCTGGGTTTCTGTTGGAGAGCTGCAGAGGTTTTTTGGCGAGCCTCCTCCTTTCCTTTCCCTTCAAATTGGATTTACAAGTACATTCAAGTCCGCCTACAGAAAAAGGTCTTGATGTCTAGTCTCACTTTCCTAGCTGCAGAACTCGCTGCGTCAGATGAGTCGCTGTCTTATGTGCAAGATTTCTATCCGCAATCAAGTGTGGAGTACTGTGGCTGTATCAAATTGAAAGAATTCGCTGCAGCACTTGTCACTTTTAGTAGAGTAATAGGCTGTTGATGACTTGAACTAGTGCATCTAGTCATAAGTTCTCCCTTCATAATCCGCAACGCTCGGTTCGCAACGGCATGCTCGATCGTGACCTATGTCACACCCTTCAAGCTCACGCGAGCAGAAAGAAAACCAGCGGAACATAACCTCTCCGCGAGCCTTCCGTCGCTCTCTTTCCACTAATTTCGCCAACGATCATTCTTCAGGCGACATTCTGAGCAGCAGCAGCAGCTTCAACAGCACTTGCAGCTTGAGCAGCAGCAATAGCCTAAACAGCTCCTCCGCTTCGAGTATGGACGCAGAGAAACTCATTCCCACGTCGCGCGTGCCTGACGACCGGCAAAAGCTTCTGGCCGGCTCGAGCTCGCACGCGTCGCACGCGATGGACGTGGACGATAGCGTGCGACTGCCGGAACCCGCGAGGCGAACGCCGTCGTCAGCCTACAAGAGCGGCAAGGAGGTACGCGCTGGACGGTTACGATTGAATGGCGGGAGTGAATGCAACCACCAGCAGCGTCAGACGGTTACGAAGATGCACCAGCTGTCCATGCAGCTAGTACCAATGGATATCAAACCAATCGTTGGCGCTGCACTTGCGGGCTCCTCCTGAGCGCGTCTGAGAGCGTTATCACATTGCTACGTGTGTACTTTTCCCCCCTCTCTCTCTGTATCGCCCCTCACTCGCTGTCTCACAGGCATTCCTCGCGGTCCTACACAGTTGGGCGACCAAACGGTTCATGAGTGGATGGTAAGGCGCTCCCTTCCTGCTCCAAACCGTCTGCTCTTTGCTTCCTCTTTGAAGCGTGTTCTTTGCACCCTGCTTTCCGTCAGCTCCATTCTGTTCCGGGTGCCCGTTACCCTCTACGCACTGTGTCGTTCGGTTCGATACCACGTGCTTTCGCTAACCCTCTCTCCACCCAGCACTATCCTAATCCCCATTACCATGCCCTCAACATGACCTGTTGTCTGTTACCGCTCTTCTCGTCCCACTCACCGCTATTCTGTAACCCGTCGCCATACCATCTACATTGTACACTCTTTGCTTCGCCTCTCCCCACCCATCGCCATCCTCCTACCCATCGCCGTCACATTCCATGTGACGCGTTTTTTGCCTTCACTATTCACAACACGTGCTTCCAGCGCCATCGCATTCCCCATAGCCATCACCTTTTACATTACCCGTGGTCTTGTGTCCCGTCCTCCATTCATCTATTCCCCGTCACTCTCTCCCCTCCCTCCCAGCGCTATCCTCTTCCCCTTTTCGATCACCTTCTGCATGGCGTGGTGGTTCTTCGCCTTCGTCCATCCCATTACCATCTCACGCATTCTTTCCTTCCCTTATTCCAACACATGCTCTCTCCGATTCCCTCTCCCTCTCTTCCCCCTCCCAGCGCCATCCTCTTCCCCATAGCAATCACCTTCTATATGACGTGGTGGTTCTTCACCTTCGTCGATGGTTTTTTCTCCCCCATCTATCGCCATGTCTATGGCATCGACATACTGGGTGAGTGGTTTTGACTGCGATGTGGTGAGGCACTGTTTGGCTTCTTCTCGCCCATCTCCCCCGTCTACCGCCATGTGTACGGCATGGACATGCTGAGTGAGTGGGTTGAGCGTGATGTGAAGTGCCAAACAGCTCGGCTTTCTCTCCTCCATCTACCGCCATGTGTACGGCATAGACAATTCTGGAAAAGTGGTTGTGACATATGGTTGAGTGGTTGGATTGTGACGTGGGGGGAAGTTTCACCTTGCTCGTTCACTCCGGTGGTACAGGGCTGACCTCGGGCTGAGACCAGCTGTAGGTCTCGCCTGAGCTTCATCACAATCATTTTGCTCATCTTTTGTGGATGGATCTGTAGTGCATCCCCAATCCACCCCCCGACCTCCCAAAAGCAACCCCCCATTGCATTTGTCACTTGCCTGACAGGCCTCAAATTCGTCACGACCATCTCCCTCATTGTGTTCATGGGAGTGTTTGCCTCGCTTCCTTTCCATTTTGACCCAGCTTCATCCCCTCCTTCCCCTCCCCTCCCCGCGCCGCCCTCATGCAAGAACCTTGGCTTCATAACGACCATCTCCTTCAACTTCTTCGTGGGCGTGTTCGTGTCGTCATGGGTGGGGTCGTCGATGCTGTGCATACTGAGTTCTATGAAGCAAATTCCTATTCTCCTGCTTAACAGGCCTGGGCTTCATCACGACCATCTCGTTCAACTTCTTCATAGGTGGGGTCACTGGTGTTGTCTGTGCTGTCTCTTATTAAGCAAAGGCCCTCCCCCTTCGCTCTCCTGCGTGACAGGCCTGGGCTTCATCACGACCATCTCGTTTATCTTCTTCGTGGGGGTGTTCGTGTCATCCTGGGTGGGGTCGTCGGTGCTGTGGATAGGCGAGTGGATCATCAAGCGCATGCCGCTCATGAAGCACATCTACTCCGCCTCCAAGCAGATCAGCAACGCCATCTCGCCAGGTGGGTTTATCTGAATGCGCTGGGCCCACTTGGTTTGTCAAAATCAGAACTGAAGTGTTTTTTTTTCAAATAGGAGATTATTACCCTGCACCATCCTTTTTTTTTTAAGGTCCTCTTTGAGAATTCTCGAACGCGACCGATAGAAAAATGTCTCCAAACAGGAGGTGGTCACCCTTCACCATCCACATGCCTCCCTTCGCATCCACTCATGTGCACCCATGTGCACCGCGTCGCATCTCATCACGTCTGTGCTGCCCTGTCCTCCACTGCAGACCAGAACGTGAATGCGTTCAAGGAGGTGGCCATCCTGCGCCATCCACGCCCCTCCTCTCTCATCCACACAAATGCACCTCTCTGCACCCCCCACATCTCATCACATCTCCGCCCCTGCAGACCAGAACGTGAACGCGTTCAAGGAGGTGACCATCCTGCGCAATCCATGTCCCTCCTCTCTCATCCACATGGGTGCACGCCTGTGCACCCCAACTCATCTCATCATGTCTGTGCTAACCTGTCCGCCCCTGCAGACCAGAACGTGAATGCGTTCAAGGAGGTGGCCATCCTGCGCCATCCGCGCATAGGCGAGTATGCCTTTGGCTTCATCACCTCCAACGTCACTCTCCAGGTGCCCACTTTCTAATCCGTTCTTGACTGATTATGAAGGGCGTACAGCATTATAGTAGATTGACCGAGAGGGAGAGAGGGCACACACTTTCGCTCCCTCTCACCCTTCAGGTGGCCACACTCTTTCTCACTCTCTCAGGTGCCCACACTCTTTCTCACTCTCAACTCAGGTGGCCACACTCTTTCTCACTCTCCTCTCAGGTGGCCCAGGCCTCTTTCACCCCCCCGTGCCCACACTCTCCCCTCAAATGCCCTCGTGTTCGCCCTCTGCTGCAATAAAGCATCTTCCAGGTGTAGCCTGTTAGACGTCTAATCCCCCTTCATGATCCTTCTACCCCATTCCTTTGGAGCCAAATTCCACCTTAATAGTTGTTTCGGCTCATGCAGGCACTAATCATAGTACGAGGCTTCTCGTGCCACTGTGCAAAAGAGCCTTTTCGCGCTTCCATTCCTTGACTCCGTACCCTGGCTTGCCTTTCCTTGCTCTGCTGTTGGCTCAATGTGCTCCCGTGTTCCCGTACCTTACCAACAGCTGGAGTCGGGAGTGCAGGAGGAGCTGGTGAGTGTGTATGTGCCCACCAACCACGTGTACATCGGAGACACCTTCCTCGTGCCCGAGTCTGACATCATCCGGCCCAACCTCTCCGTGCGGGAAGGCCTCGGTAAGCCTTCTCGTACCATGCCTTGCTACAGCTTAGCTTTCTTTGTTTTTGTTCCGTTGTTTTTGTTCTGGTTTGGCTTGGTTTGGTTTTCTTTTTTGCATGATACAATCCGTTTACAAGTTTGCAGCAGCTCTCTGAAGCGGCTTCCATTGTTCGTGCAGGTACTACTGTGTCAGCAGCAGTTTGTATTTATCTTTTTGTTCTGCTGTGCTGTGGTGCACTGTGCAGAAATAGTGGTTTCTGGGGGAATGTCGATGCCAAAGGTCATCCAGCCTGCATGTAGATCACCAGCAATGAAGGGTATGATTGGATTCAGTTAAATCTTCAAACAAACTTCAGTCCATGCAAAATCCCCTAAGCCCGCCAGTTCTTCTAGATGTATTTCATGGTTTTGAGCCCCTTTTGAGTATGTCCGATCTCGTTTTAGTACACATGTATTTCACACAGATGTATTTCATACCGTACTAGGGATAATCAACAGCGTTTCGTGTGACAAAAAATTACAGAAACTAATAGGGACCCTGTTTTTGAATTAAGTCGGATTTTCGGATTTGTATCAATCTGAAATACCATCAGTCCTTAGTTATCCGCGTTATTTGCGTTAGGCTTGGCATGGCATGCAGTGTAGCAGCGTGATCTGAACACACTGGGATCGCGAGTCCCTCCCTCCCAGAATTTACGGAAGAAACACACAGCAGCAGCTCGAGCCAGTCAGTCCCCTCATCCACCCATTGGCGGCATCTAGATTCTGAATCAACGGTCGCTAGGACTTTGTCGAATCCGTTCAGTGTCTCGCCATTGCAATATCTAGTAGTTTATATTTCGTGGCAATTTTTGTCAGACGGTGTTCAAATTAGGTCGACGTCGGGCCGTACTATATAGAGAGTGTGACGTCGGATGCTGAAAGCGCGACTCCGATGTGATGTCTGCCGGCGAAGCATTACGATCTAGTTCTACGCCTACGGTTACAGTACAATCGTTTGATATCGAACCGATGCTTCTACTACTAGCAGTAACACTTGCATCTCCATGTACTGACCCAGAGGTGACCCTCAAGTAACTTTCAGGCGAGATTAGGGTCGTTTGAGAATCTGACCCAAAAGTGACTTCGGGGTCAGGTACGGGTCAGGTACGGGTCAGGTACGGGTCAGGTACGGGTCCGTTTTGTAGCTTCGAGGTCAGGTGACATGTGACTCAGGTCAACCTAGGTGTGAGAGAGGTTCACTCTAAATGAGATTAGGGTGCGTAGCGTTTGCGATTGCGCGTCGGATCATCACGAGTACGCATGGGTACGCTGGAGCTCGACAGGCGGAACGGTGCCACTGCGCGGTACTCATTTTGGCATTGGCTCTCGTCGCGACGGTCGCCAGCGGCCAGGCACGCAGCGGCGAGGGTCTGAGCAGCGACGACGCAGGGGTAGGCGGCGCAGGGAGCGAGGGAGCGATGAGCGGAGGAGCAGGCAGCGAAAGAGCGGGGAGGGTACTAGAAAGCAACGGGGGCGGTGGCGGGAGTAACATGGTTCGCGGGTTTGAGCTGCCGGATCCGCCGTCCAGATTCGACGCATCTGCGGCGTGGCGCCACACGCTGTATCGCACGGCTGACTCATGCTGGAGTCAGCAGGAGCGACACCTGTACCACACGGTATGGCGAGGAGGTGTCTGTAGCACACGGTATGGCGTGAGAGGGTGTCTGTGTACACGGTATGGCGTGAGAGGGTGTGTGTACCACACGGTATGGCGTGAGAGGGTGTCTGTACCACACGGTATGGTGTCGCAATGCGGTACGCTGTGCTGCTTGTGCTGTGCTGTTTGTGCTGTGCTGCTTGTGCTGTGCTGCTTGTGCTGTGCTGTTTGTGCTGTGCTGCTTGTGCTGTGCTGCTTGTGCTGTGCTGCTTGTGCTGTGCTGCTTGTGCTGTGCTGCTTGTGCTGTGCTGTTTGTGCTGTGCTGCTTGTGCTGTGCTGCTTGTGCTGTGCTGCTTGTGCTGTGCTGTGCTGTGCTGCTTGTGCTGTGCTGCTTTTGCTGTGCTGCTTGTGCTGTGCTGCTTGTGCTGTGCTGCTTGTGCTGTGCTGCTTTTGCTGTGCTATGCTATGCTGTGATTACCGCATAACTTATGCTGTGCTGTCTCAGGCTCTGAAACCTGTCGTCCTGTGCGTGCAGGCCAACACCGCCCCCCCTTCCGACGCATTCTTGAGCGCAGTGGGGGCCTGGGAGGCGATGCAGAGGGAGTGCGTGGCGCAGGGAGGCACAGAGCAGTGGGCGTGGGTGGGCAACAAAGCAAAATGGTATGATTGGATTGGCATAGGGAAAGGTAGGGCAAAACTGTATGGGAAGTGACGAATATCGTTTACTGGTGGAGCCAGGTGTATTGCGTACGCCGCTATTGGCCATCAGACTTGAACAAGAAAGCGACAAGGAACGGATACTAGGTGTTAGGTGTGGGAGGGAAGGCACAGTTGTTGGCTCAAGTGCGATGCTTTTCCTCGCCTCGCCTCAACCCTCTTCATCCTCCCTGCCTCATTCTGCTATTTACCCACCTGTATGATGTGTTACGGCAAAACATGTGGCTCGCAGCACATGCTGAGTGCACACATCGTGATTCCACATACTGACATGGTGACTGCACATGCTGACATGGTGACTGCACATACTGACATGGTGACTGCACATACTCACATGGTGATTCCACATACTGACATGGTGACTGCACATACTGACATGGTGACTGCACATACTGACATGGTGATTGCACATACTGACATGGTGATTGCACATACTGACATGGTGATTGCACATACTGACATGGTGATTGCACATACTGACATGGTGATTGCACATACTGACATGGTGATTGCACATACTGACATGGTGATTGCACATGCTGACATGGTGATTGCACATGCTGACATGGTGATTGCACATGCTGACATGGTGATTGCACATGCTGACATGGTGATTGCACATGCTGACATGGTGATTGCACATGCTGACATGGTGATTGCACATGCTGACATGGTGATTGCACATGCTGACATGGTGATTGCACATACTGACATGGTGATTGCACATACTGACATGGTGATTGCACATACTGACATGGTGATTGCACATACTGACATGGTGATTGCACATACTGACATGGTGATTGCACATGCTGACATGGTGATTGCACATGCTGACATGGTGATTGCACATGCTGACATGGTGATTGCACATGCTGACATGGTGATTGCACATGCTGACATGGTGATTGCACATACTGACATGGTGATTGCACATACTGACATGGTGATTGCACATACTGACATGGTGATTGCACATACTGACATGGTGATTGCACATACTGACATGGTGATTGCACATACTGACATGGTGATTGCACATGCTGACATGGTGATTGCACATACTGACATGGTGATTGCACATACTGACATGGTGATTGCACATACTGACATGGTGATTGCACATGCTGACATGGTGATTGCACATACTGACATGGTGATTGCACATACTGACATGGTGATTGCACATGCTGACATGGTGATTGCACATACTGACATGGTGATTGCACATACTGACATGGTGATTGCACATGCTGACATGGTGATTGCACATGCTGACATGGTGATTGCACATACTGACATGGTGATTGCACATACTGACATGGTGATTGCACATACTGACATGGTGATTGCACATGCTGACATGGTGATTGCACATGCTGACATGGTGATTGCACATGCTGACATGGTGATTGCACATGCTGACATGGTGATTGCACATGCTGACATGGTGATTGCACATACTGACATGGTGATTGCACATACTGACATGGTGATTGCACATGCTGACATGGTGATTGCACATGCTGACATGGTGATTGCACATGCTGACATGGTGATTGCACATGCTGACATGGTGATTGCACATACTGACATGGTGATTGCACATACTGACATGGTGATTGCACATACTGACATGGTGATTGCACATGCTGACATGGTGATTGCACATGCTGACATGGTGATTGCACATGCTGACATGGTGATTGCACATACTGACATGGTGATTGCACATGCTGACATGGTGATTGCACATGCTGACATGGTGATTGCACATGCTGACATGGTGATTGCACATGCTGACATGGTGATTGCACATGCTGACACGGTGATTGCACATGCTGACACGGTGATTGCACATGCTGACACGGTGATTGCACATACTGACACGGTGATTGCACATACTGACATGGTGATTGCACATACTGACATGGTGATTGCACATACTGACATGGTGATTGCACATACTGACATGGTGATTGCACATGCTGACATGGTGATTGCACATACTGACATGGTGATTGCACATACTGACATGGTGATTGCACATACTGACATGGTGATTGCACATACTGACATGGTGATTGCACATACTGACATGGTGATTGCACATACTGACATGGTGATTGCACATGCTGACATGGTGATTGCACATACTGACATGGTGATTGCACATACTGACATGGTGATTGCACATACTGACATGGTGATTGCACATACTGACATGGTGATTGCACATACTGACATGGTGATTGCACATACTGACATGGTGATTGCACATACTGACATGGTGATTGCACATGCTGACATGGTGATTGCACATGCTGACATGGTGATTGCACATGCTGACATGGTGATTGCACATGCTGACATGGTGATTGCACATGCTGACATGGTGATTGCACATGCTGACATGGTGATTGCACATGCTGACACGGTGATTGCACATGCTGACACGGTGATTGCACATACTGACACGGTGATTGCACATACTGACACGGTGATTGCACATACTGACATGGTGATTGCACATACTGACATGGTGATTGCACATACTGACATGGTGATTGCACATACTGACATGGTGATTGCACATGCTGACATGGTGATTGCACATGCTGACATGGTGATTGCACATGCTGACATGTGACATGGCGATTGCACATGCTGACATGGTGATTGCACATACTGACATGGTGATTGCACATGCTGACATGGTGATTGCACATACTGACATGGTGATTGCACATACTGACATGGTGATTGCACATGCTGACATGGTGATTGCACATGCTGACATGGTGATTGCACATGCTGACATGGTGATTGCACATGCTGACATGGTGATTGCACATGCTGACATGGTGATTGCACATGCTGACATGGTGATTGCACATGCTGACATGGTGATTGCACATGCTGACATGGTGATTGCACATGCTGACATGGTGATTGCACATGCTGACATGGTGATTGCACATGCTGACATGGTGATTGCACATACTGACATGGTGATTGCACATACTGACATGGTGATTGCACATACTGACATGGTGATTGCACATACTGACATGGTGATTGCACATACTGACATGGTGATTGCACATACTGACATGGTGATTGCACATGCTGACATGGTGATTGCACATGCTGACATGGTGATTGCACATGCTGACATGGTGATTGCACATGCTGACATGGTGATTGCACATGCTGACATGGTGATTGCACATACGGACATGGTGATTGCACATACTGACATGGTGATTGCACATACTGACATGGTGATTGCACATACTGACATGGTGATTGCACATACTGACATGGTGATTGCACATGCTGACATGGTGATTGCACATGCTGACATGGTGATTGCACATGCTGACATGGTGATTGCACATGCTGACATGGTGATTGCACATGCTGACATGGTGATTGCACATACTGACATGGTGATTGCACATACTGACATGGTGATTGCACATACTGACATGGTGATTGCACATGCTGACATGGTGATTGCACATGCTGACATGGTGATTGCACATATTGACATGGTGATTGCACATGCTGACATGGTGATTGCACATGCTGACATGGTGATTGCACATGCTGACATGGTGATTGCACATGCTGACATGGTGATTGCACATGCTGACATGGTGATTGCACATGCTGACATGGTGATTGCACATACTGACATGGTGATTGCACATACTGACATGGTGATTGCACATACTGACATGGTGATTGCACATACTGACATGGTGATTGCACATGCTGACATGGTGATTGCACATGCTGACATGGTGATTGCACATGCTGACATGGTGATTGCACATACTGACATGGTGATTGCACATACTGACATGGTGATTGCACATACTGACATGGTGATTGCACATACTGACATGGTGATTGCACATACTGACATGGTGATTGCACATACTGACATGGTGATTGCACATGCTGACATGGTGATTGCACATGCTGACATGGTGATTGCACATACTGACATGGTGATTGCACATGCTGACATGGTGATTGCACATGCTGACATGGTGATTGCACATGCTGACATGGTGATTGCACATGCTGACATGGTGATTGCACATGCTGACATGGTGATTGCACATGCTGACATGGTGATTGCACATGCTGACATGGTGATTGCACATACTGACATGGTGATTGCACATACTGACATGGTGATTGCACATACTGACATGGTGATTGCACATACTGACATGGTGATTGCACATACTGACATGGTGATTGCACATGCTGACATGGTGATTGCACATGCTGACATGGTGATTGCACATACTGACATGGTGATTGCACATGCTGACATGGTGATTGCACATGCTGACATGGTGATTGCACATACTGACATGGTGATTGCACATACTGACATGGTGATTGCACATACTGACATGGTGATTGCACATACTGACATGGTGATTGCACATGCTGACATGGTGATTGCACATGCTGACATGGTGATTGCACATGCTGACATGGTGATTGCACATACTGACATGGTGATTGCACATGCTGACATGGTGATTGCACATACTGACATGGTGATTGCACATACTGACATGGTGATTGCACATACTGACATGGTGATTGCACATACTGACATGGTGATTGCACATACTGACATGGTGATTGCACATGCTGACATGGTGATTGCACATGCTGACATGGTGATTGCACATGCTGACATGGTGATTGCACATGCTGACATGGTGATTGCACATACTGACATGGTGATTGCACATACTGACATGGTGATTGCACATACTGACATGGTGATTGCACATACTGACATGGTGATTGCACATACTGACATGGTGATTGCACATACTGACATGGTGATTGCACATACTGACATGGTGATTGCACATACTGACATGGTGATTGCACATACTGACATGGTGATTGCACATACTGACATGGTGATTGCACATACTGACATGGTGATTGCACATACTGACATGGTGATTGCACATACTGACATGGTGATTGCACATACTGACATGGTGATTGCACATACTGACATGGTGATTGCACATACTGACATGGTGATTGCACATACTGACATGGTGATTGCACATACTGACATGGTGATTGCACATACTGACATGGTGATTGCACATACTGACATGGTGATTGCACATACTGACATGGTGATTGCACATACTGACATGGTGATTGCACATACTGACATGGTGATTGCACATACTGACATGGTGATTGCACATACTGACATGGTGATTGCACATACTGACATGGTGATTGCACATACTGACATGGTGATTGCACATACTGACATGGTGATTGCACATACTGACATGGTGATTGCACATACTGACATGGTGATTGCACATACTGACATGGTGATTCCACAAACTGACATGGTGATTCCACATGCTGACATGGTGATTCCACATGCTGACATGGTGATTCCACATGCTGACATGGTGATTCCACATGCTGACATGGTGATTCCACATACTGACATGGTGATTCCACATACTGACATGGTGATTCCACATGCTGACATGGTGATTCCACATGCTGACATGGTGATTCCACATACTGACATGGTGATTCCACATACTGACATGGTGATTCCACATGCTGACATGGTGACTGCACATTACTTTTGTTGTTAATCGTGTGGCAGGAGCAAGAACCTGCCACGTCATGGGCCTGACCGGGAGCCCTGCCGCTACATTGTGATAGAAGACATGAAACGAGGTGAGGTTGGTGCATACCTCCCTTGTGTGCAGCAATGCCATGCCATGGTCGAGAGCGATGCCATGCCATGGTCGAGAGCAATGCCATGCCATGGTCGAGAGCAATGCCATGCCATGGTCGAGAGCAATGCCATGCCATGGTCGAGAGCAATGCCATGCCATGGTCTAGAGCAATGCCATGCCATGGTCGAGAGCAATGCCATGCCATGGTCGAGAGCAATGCCATGCCATGGTCGAGAGCAATGCCATGCCATGGTCGAGAGCAATGCCATGCCATGGTCGAGAGCAATGCCATGCCATGGTCGAGAGCAATGCCATGCCATGGTCGAGAGCAATGCCATGCCATGGTCGAGAGCAATGCCATGCCATGGTCGAGAGCAATGCCATGCCATGGTCGAGAGCAATGCCATGCCATGGTCAAGAGCAATGCCATGCCATGGTCGAGAGCTCGCCCGGCCACACTCTTCAGCGGAATGGTGCAACAGGGCATTCCCTAGACAATCTGAGCTGTTTGACTTGTGAGGCGCCTCAAAACCTCAGAAGCCGCTGAATGGTGCGACAGCGCATGCATTTCAACACGGTGAGTGAGCTATGGGTGAGTGAGTTACAAGCGAGTTACTAGCCAGTGCGCAATTGTCGCCTTGCCATGACGTGCCACTACATTGCGTTTCAAGGGACAAGGTGATTACTAACAAAGCGAGGATCCTTTGTGGTTGTGATACAGCTAGCGTTTGAATGCGGTGAATCGTTCCTTCGAACTGAAGCATAGGCTCACTTCAACTAAGCCCTTCAAAAGAAGGTGAGCCAAGTGTAATCAGCTGAGCCCCTCACAGCAAGACGAGTGACAGCAGTGCATTCCTTTTTCACTTCATGTTCACTCTACAGCCTCATTCTCATTCTCACATCCATTCTGCAGGCGTGGGAAACAAAATCACAGCATACGTGGTCTCGTTCATCTTGGGTCTTCTCACCCACCGAGCCATCATCGCACCGCCGCAATCCTTCCTCACTCGCCGCTTCTGCAACCCCTTCGCCCACGCCAACACCTCATGGACCGTCGACTCGCACACCTACGAGTACGTCCTTCCGTATCACAACTCACAGGTGTACACGACTCGCACGCCCACCCCTGAGATCATTCCCTCACATCGCTCTCACTTGTCATTGTTGACAGCCGTAGGTAGCATGGGTGCATGGCATGCATGAGCAACGAGCGAACCGAATTTTTGCTCATGCGCTGCATGCAACCTGTAGGGTTGCACAGTCTCGCTCCACTCTGATTGCACTTTGATTGATTGCAGCCATCGTTCCACAAACGCACACTTGTGACATGGCAAGTGTGCTGCATTGGCTTGTGCTGCTCGCCTCCTAAAGGAACCGGGTGATTGGTGTGGCAGTTGGTTGAACTGCCTTCTGTATGCTGTGGTGCTCAGAAGGTCCTGAGAACCCGAATCAGTGCTCCTAATCAACACCCGGACGCTTATTACTGCCTTCCCCATCCACTGCGTCCTCACTGCAGCTTATTCCTGGGCACAGTGTTTCAGAAGCCACGGCTGCTACTCACCAGCATGGCAGAGCAGCTGAAGGCAACGCAAGGAGGGGCACGCACGGACCTGCCATGGCAGGTGGTCAGCAAGGGCGCCGTGTGGATGGACCTGTATCGCAAGTGAGTGGTGGATGGACCTCTACCGCAAGTGAGTGGTGGATGGACCTCTACCGCAAGTGAGTGGTGGATGGACCTCTACCGCAAGTGAGTGGTGGATGGACCTCTACCGCAAGTGAGTGGTGGATGGACCTCTACCGCAAGTGAGTGGTGGATGGACCTCTACCGCAAGTGAGTGGTGGATGGACCTCTACCGCAAGTGAGTGGTGGATGGACCTCTACCGCAAGTGAGTGGTGGATGGACCTCTACCGCAAGTGAGTGGTGGGTATCGATTCGACTCACAATAGCTCGGCTTGGTGTGGAGGGACATGTACGGCAAGTGCGTGAGTGTTGGATGGCGCTTGCGTGATCTCAATATCAACGAGTTTCTTTCTGCACAGCGAAACAAGGGGCTTGTGTACCAAAGCTGCTGCAATGCCAGATTGTACACACTGGAAGCCTTCTGAGCTGCTGACATGCGCCCAGCTGTTATATGAATCACCCCTGTTTCCCGTGCTCGCCCTGGTCTCCAACCGCCAGGACCTGGAACATGTGCCGGAGCGACCTGTGGTCCTGTGTGGAGCACTGCTGCCCCCACGCTCTTCAGTGAGGGGCTTGACTTCCCCTCTTCCCTGGTTTCAGTGAGGGGCTTGACTTCCCCTCTTCCCTGGTTTCTTATCCAGCAAGGGCACATCACATCATGGCCTCCTACCTCACCTCACCGTGTTCTCCAACCGCCAAGACCTGCAACATGTTCTGCAGTGGCCTGTGTGGAGCGAGCTCTGCTGCTGCTCTGCCAGCTGGCACACTGGATACAGGTTGTGCTGCTGCTCTGCCAGCTGGCACACTGGATACAGGTTGTGCTGCTGCTCTGCCAGCTGGCACACTGGATACAGGTTGTGCTGCTGCTCTGCCAGCTGGCACACTGGATACAGGTTGTGCTGCTGCTCTGCCAGCTGGCACACTGGATACAGGTTGTGCTGCTGCCGTGCAGTGCACTGCACCCAGCTGTTGTAACACCCCCCCTTTCCCCCGCGCTGCCCACCGCCAGGACGTGGAACATGTTCTGCAGCGACCTGTGGAGCACTGCTGCTCTCGCGCCCTTCTGGCTGGCCGGCATCGATTCTTACACCATCCCCAGCCTGCACTATATCCCAGAGTTCGCTGTAAGTACGAAATGTACTCTTCACGTGCAACCACGTGTCTTCTGTGGAATTCTGCAAGGTGGTGGCAATCCAAAGTCGACGAGATTGAAGCGTCACCTGTGGTAGTGGTTTGGTAACATGGCTGGCCCAATCTCTCATGCCCAGGCAAGCAGACCAGTCACTTCTCTCCCAAAATTTTCGTTTTCAACCATGCAGCACCCATGCAGCTCCCTTCCTCATGCTCTGTTGCACCTCTTAACCATCCATCACCCCATCCATCAACAACCTAGTGATCCCCCATTACTCCCCTGTCGTAGGACCGAGTACGCTAGTTGTTCATGCTTCCTCATGCACTCATAACACGTATGCCCGTGCAACCATCCCGATTCAAAACCCGCCCATCACAGGACCATCCGACTGTCCACGTGAGTTGTTCCCTGATGGTCATGTGTCCACCCATGGAGCTCACCCCTCAAGCACACATAACACGTGTGTCCATGCAACCACCTACCGCCCTCCACCACCCTCCATCCCAGGGCTGTCTACGCGAGCTGTTTGCCGATGGTCGTGCGTTCACCCATGCATCACGCCCCCTCATCCATCCAGACAACGAGTGGGCGCAGTTGGCCACTTCTCTCCACCGCTCCCCCCATCAAACCCTCCTCCCCCATCTAACCCTCCTCCCCCATCAAACCCTCCTCCCCGTCCTTCATCACAGGACCGTCTGCGTGAGTTGTTCCCTGATGGTCGTGTGTTCACCCACGCAGCGCGCCTCTTAATGCATCCAGACAACGAGCTGTGGGCGCAGATCACCACCGCCTTCCACGCCAACCTCGCCCACTTCTCCCACCGCCTCGGCCTGCAGGTGGGGTGGGAGAGGGGGGAAGGGTGGGGAGGAGGGGGGGATGGTGGTGTGTAAGGTGGATTTGAGTACATGTGGGGTGTGAGGCTGCTGGTACAAGTCTCCTTGTGCGTGTGTCAGGTGGGCACTGCTCCACCCCCCATGCAACAAGTGCCCACTTGTCCCACCACCTCGGCCTGCAGGTAAGGGTGGGTCCACTCTGATCTGATTCGCTTATGGGTGGGGTGTGATGCTGGGATGATGGCCGGCAGGGCATGGTGCTGCGTTGATGGCCGGTGGAGCATGGTGCTGCGTTGATGGCCGGCGGGGCATGGTGCTGCGTTGATGGCCGGCGGGGCATGGTGCTGCGTTGATGGCCGGCGGGGCATGGTGCTGCGTTGATGGCCGGCGGGGCATGGTGCTGCGTTGATGGCCGGCGGGGCATGGTGCTGCGTTGATGGCCGGCGGGGCATGGTGCTGCGTTGATGGCCGGCGGGGCATGGTGCTGCGTTGATGGCCGGCGGGGCATGGTGCTGCGTTGATGGCCGGCGGGGCATGGTGCTGCGTTGATGGCCGGCGGGGCATGGTGCTGCGTTGATGGCCGGCGGGGCATGGTGCTGCGTTGATGGCCGGCGGGGCATGGTGCTGCGTTGATGGCCGGCGGGGCATGGTGCTGCGTTGATGGCCGGCGGGGCATGGTGCTGCGTTGATGGCCGGCGGGGCATGGTGCTGCGTTGATGGCCGGCGGGGCATGGTGCTGCGTTGATGGCCGGCGGGGCATGGTGCTGCGTTGATGGCCGGCGGGGCATGGTGCTGCGTTGATGGCCGGCGGGGCATGGTGCTGCGTTGATGGCCGGCGGGGCATGGTGCTGCGTTGATGGCCGGCGGGGCATGGTGCTGCGTTGATGGCCGGCGGGGCATGGTGCTGCGTTGATGGCCGGCGGGGCATGGTGCTGCGTTGATGGCCGGCGGGGCATGGTGCACTTCACTTCACCTTCCTCGTGCGTCTGTCTGTGCCTGTCTCCCTCACGCCCCTTTTCTCCCTCACGCCCCTTGGGTCAGATCCGTTCGCCTGATGGCATTCACCTGCCCCTCTCTGCTCGCATCCTCCAGTGTGGGGCTGCTGTCGCTCACTACCTGCCGTATACTCAGCCGTACTCACAGGTGAGAGTGCTGATGCTCCTAGTTCAGCAGTCCCTTGTGTGGGGCTGCTGCTTCTCTCGCTCTCTGCCTTACACACGACCGTACAAGCAGGTGATGGTGTTGCCAGTGCTAGCGACCAAGAATAGGCACATGGAATAGGACTAGCTTTCCTGTGACAGGGCTAGCTAGCTGACATAGCCATGTGACAGGGCTAGCTAGCTGACATAGCCATGTGACAGGGCTAGCTGACATAGCCATGTGACTTGTAATAGTGGTAGCTTTCCCGCCCACGTACTCTCTCGAGCATGTGACCTTCGCCATTGCAGTCTCTTGTGCATGCCTTAACTCTCTCCGGAATTCAACATTATGAATCTCCGGAGCTCTAGTCTCACTGAATCCACACGGCTTCTGGTGATAAGGAGTTGGACAGCAGTCCTATCACACAAGCCGCTTTTTGTTTCCATCCTGCATTCATCCAGGCTGTGTCTAGTCTGGCAGTGTGACAGCCCTTCGTTTCTGCAAGCTCAATTCTGCACATCTTCAACCCTTCAATCTGGCACATCTTCAACCCTTCAATCTGGCCTGCATTCGCCCAGACTCTGTTGGAATCCGCCAACACGGCAGCCTCACATGCCTCACATGCCTCACATGCCTCACATGCCTGACATGCGTGAAGCACATGCTAGAGTCCAGCATAAAAGCGACCCGCTGGTCTTGCAAGCTCAACTCGTGCACGTCATCCTCCCCGTCACTCATTTCGCCCATTCCCCTTCGCCCTGTTATCCAGACCCTGTTGGGGACCAGCAGTAAGGCAGCCTCACATGCGCCGCACACAACGATGGGCGTGTTTGTGTCGTCTCTGACAATGAAGCACATGTTGGAGCTGCAGGCTCACTACACGCTCCACATGCCCATCGGCAACACACTCGTTGCCTTCTGGTCGTGAGTGCACCTTGACATTTCCCACCATTTTCACGCCGCGCATTCATCCAGCCAGGCTCCGGTACACTTGGGCAGTGAACTTGTTACCACCCCCCGAGCCCACCCTACCCACCCCCCGAGCCCACCCTACCCACCCCCCGAGCCCACCCTACCCACCCCCCGAGCCCACCCTACCCACCCCCCGAGCCCACCCTACCCACCCCCCGAGCCCACCCTACCCACCCCCCGAGCCCACCCTACCCACCCCCCGAGCCCACCCTACCCACCCCCCGAGCCCACCCTACCCACCCCCCGAGCCCACCCTACCCACCCCCCGAGCCCACCCTACCCACCCCCCGAGCCCACCCTACCCACCCCCCGAGCCCACCCTACCCACCCCCCGAGCCCACCCTACCCACCCCCCGAGCCCACCCTACCCACCCCCCGAGCCCACCCTACCCACCCCCCGAGCCCACCCTACCCACCCCCCGAGCCCACCCTACCCAGCCCCCGAGCCCACCCCACCCACCCCCCAAACCCACCCCACCCACACACACACCTCACCCTGCAAATATAGAATTGTAGTCTTGGGGGACTTGGCCTCGTTCTTGCTTATCGATATAGCAGTAACTTTTCGAAGCCTTTCAACCCCATGCACACATGTTCCGTGGCAGGCTAACGAGTGAGGAGGTGGAGAACAGGGACGAGCAGCACCTCGTTGCCACTGTCATTGAAATCTGGCTCCTCAGCTTCTGGTAAGCTGTGCCTTTGGTAAACTGTGCCTTGTGAGAAACTGAAGTGTTGGTTTGATTAGAATGATGGTGGGTACATATAGGAGATGAAAAGTATGGGGAACTAGGTTGGGTACCTGCAACATTATTGGTGAGCCAATAGGAGTGGCCACCAATAATGTTTTGGAGGTAGCTGCCAATTATTGGGGGATGTGGTTCACCCCGCCAATTATGGCAGAGTGGGGTTGGGACGCGTCCAACCAAAACTGGTTGGGGCGCTTTGGCCCAAGGTGTACACCCATGTTTGGGTGTTACACTTGCACATTTACAACCCAACTGATGCTATAATCTAACACAACCCCTTAGCAGAAGAAGGGTTTAAATGTGCACAACCCCTGAATCTTCAAGCCGGGAGAGGGGGAGAGGGGGGGAGGGGGGGGGAGGGGGGCTGCTGCAGGTGAGGAGGCAAGTCAACCGAACGTGCCGCGGCTGTGACGTCGCACGCCAGCTGGGAGCGGGGGCTGCTGCATTTGAGGTGGCACGCCAGCCGAAGGAGGGGCTGCGGCGGATGATGCGGCACGCCAGCCGAAGGAGGGGCTGCGGCGGATGATGCGGTACGCCAGCCGAAGGAGGGGCTGCGGCGGATGATGCGGCACGCCAGCCGAAGGAGGGGCTGCGGCGGATGATGCGGCACGCCAGCCGAAGGAGGGGCTGCGGCGGATGATGCGGCACGCCAGCCGAAGGAGGGGCTGCGGCGGATGATGCGGCACGCCAGCCGAAGGAGGGGCTGCGGCGGATGATGCGGCACGCCAGCCGAAGGAGGGGCTGCGGCGGATGATGCGGCATGCCAGCCGAAGGAGGGGCTGCGGCGGATGATGCGGCACGCCAGCAGAAGGAGGGGCTGCGGCGGATGATGCGGCACGCCAGCCGAAGGAGGGGCTGCGGCGGATGATGCGGCACGCCAGCCGAAGGAGGGGCTGTGGCGGATGATGCGGCACGCCAGCCGAAGGAGGGGCTGCGGCGGATGATGCGGCACGCCAGCCGAAGGAGGGGCTGCGGCGGATGATGCGGCACGCCAGCCGAAGGAGGGGCTGCGGCGGATGATGCGGCACGCCAGCCGAAGGAGGGGCTGCGGCGGATGATGCGGCACGCCAGCCGAAGGAGGGGCTGCGGCGGATGATGCGGCACGCCAGCCGAAGGAGGGGCTGCGGCGGATGATGCGGCACGCCAGCCGAAGGAGGGGCTGCGGCGGATGATGCGGCACGCCAGCCGAAGGAGGGGCTGCGGCGGATGATGCGGCACGCCAGCCGAAGGAGGGGCTGCGGCGGATGATGCGGCACGCCAGCCGAAGGAGGGGCTGCGGCGGATGATGCGGCACGCCAGCCGAAGGAGGGGCTGCGGCGGATGATGCGGCACGCCAGCCGAAGGAGGGGCTGCGGCGGATGATGCGGCACGCCAGCCGAAGGAGGGGCTGCAGCGGATGATGCGGCACGCCAGCCGAAGGAGGGGCTGCGGCGGATGATGCGGCACGCCAGCCGAAGGAGGGGCTGCGGCGGATGATGCGGCACGCCAGCCGAAGGAGGGGCTGCGGCGGATGATGCGGCACGCCAGCCGAAGGAGGGGCTGCGGCGGATGATGCGGCACGCCAGCCTAAGGAGGGGCTGCGGCGGATGATGCGGCACGCCAGCCGAAGGAGGGGCTGCGGCAGATGATGCGGCACGCCAGCCGAAGGAGGGGCTGCGGCGGATGATGCGGCACGCCAGCCGAAGGAGGGGCTGCGGCGGATGATGCGGCACGCCAGCCGAAGGAGGGGCTGCGGCGGATGATGCGGCACGCCAGCCGAAGGAGGGGCTGCGGCGGATGATGCGGCACGCCAGCCAAAGGAGGAAGACCCTGAGGAGGAGGAGGCGAGGGCTGGAAGGCCCTGAGGAGGAGGAGGCGAGGAATGGAAGGCCCTCAGGAGGAGGAAGCGAGGGGGGGGAGGAGGGCTGCACGGCCCTGAGGAGGAGGAAGCGAAGGGGGGAGGAGGGCGGGAATGCCCTTAGGAGGAGGAAGCGAGGAGGGAGGAGGGCTGGAAGGCCCTGAGGAGGAGGAAGCGAGGGGGGAGGAGAAGTGGAAGGCCCTGAAGAGGAGGAAGCTAGGGGGGAGGAGGGGTGAGTGCCTTGAGGAGGAGGGAGCGAGGGGGGGGAGGAGGGCTGAAATGCCCTGAGGAGGAGAAAGCGAGGGGGGAGGAGGGCTGAGAGGCCCTTAGGAGGAGGAAGCGAGGGGGGAGGAGGGCTGGACGGCCCTGAGGAGGAGGAAGCGAAGGGGGAGGAGGGCGGGAATGCCCTTAGGAGGAGGAAGAGAGGAGGGAGGAGGGCTGGAAGACCCTGAGGAGGAGGAAGCGAGGGGGGGGGGAGGGCGGGAACGCCCGTAGGAGGAGGAAGCGAGGAGGGAGGAGGGCTGGAAGGCCCTGAGGAGGAGGAAGCGAGGGGGGGCGGAGGGCGGGAATGCCCTTAGGAGGAGAAAGCGAGGAGGGAGGAGGGTTGGAAGGCCCTGGGGAGGCGGAAGCGAGGGGGGAGGAGGGCTGGAAGGCCCTTAGGAGGAGGAAGCGAGGAGGGAGGAGGGCTGGACGGCCCTGAAGAGGAGGAAGCTAGGGGGGAGGAGGGGTGGGATGCCTTGAGGAGGAGGAAGCGAGGGGGGGAGGAGGGCTGGACGGCCCTGAGGAGGAGGAAGCGAAGGGGGAGGAGGGCGGGAATGCCCTTAGGAGGAGGAAGCGAGGAGGGAGGAGGGCTGGAAGGCCCTGAGGAGGAGGAAGTGAGGGGGGAGGAGGGCGGGAATGCCCTTAGGAGGAGGAAGCGAGGGGGGAGGAGAAGTGGAAGGCCCCGAAGAGGAGGAAACTAGGGGGGAGGAGGGGTGAGTGCCTTGAGGAGGAGGAAGCGAGGGGGGGGGGGGAGGGCTGGAAGGCCCTGAGGAGGAGGAAACGAGGAGGGGAGTAGGGCTGGAAGGCCCTGAAGAGGAGAAAGCGAGGGGGGAGGAGAAGTGGAAGGCCCTGAAGAGGAGGAAGCTAGGGGGGAGGAGGGGTGAGTGCCTTGAGGAGGAGGAAGCGAGGGGGGGGAGGAGGGCTGAAATGCCCTGACAAGGAGGAAGCGAGGGGGGAGGAGGGCTGAGAGGCCCTCAGGAGGAGGAAGCGAGGGGGGGAGGAGGGCTGGACGGCCCTGAGGAGGAGGAAGCGAAGGGTGAGGAGTGCGGGAATGCCCTTAGGAGGAGGTAGCGAGGAGGGAGGAGGGCTGGAAGGCCCTGAGGAGGAGGAAGCGAGGGGGGGCGGAGGGCGGGAATGCCCTTAGGAGGAGAAAGCGAGGAGGGAGGAAGGCCGGAAGGCCCTGGGGAGGCGGAAGCGAGGGGGGAGGAGGGCTGGAAGGCCCTTAGGAGGAGGAAGCGAGGAGGGAGGAGGGCTGGACGGCCCTGAAGAGGAGGAAGCTAGGGGGGAGGAGGGCTGGACGGTCCTGAGGAGGAGGAAGCGAAGGGGGAGGAGGGCGGGAATGCCCTTAGGAGAAGGAAGCGAGGAGGGAGGAGGGCTGAAATGCCCTGAGGAGGAGGAAGCGAGGGGGGGGGGAGGGCGGGAATGCCCTTAGGAGGAGAAAGCGAGGAGGGAGGAGGGCCGGAAGGCCCTGGGGAGGCGGAAGCGAGGGGGGAGGAGGGCTGGAAGACCCTGAGGAGGAGGAAGCGAAGAGGGAGGAGGGCGGGAATGCCCTTAGGAGGAGGAAGCGAGGAGGGAGGAGGGCTGGAAGGCCCTGAGGAGGAGGAAGCGAGGGGGGGGGGAGGGCGGGAATGCCCTTAGGAGGAGAAAGCGAGGAGGGAGGAGGGCCGGAAGGCCCTGGGGAGGCGGAAGCGAGGAGGGAGGAGGGCTGGAAGGCCCATAGGAGGAGGAAGCGAGGAGGGAGGAGGGCTGGGCGGCCCTGAAGAGGAGGAAGCTAGGGGGGAGGAGGGCTGGGATGCCTTGAGGAGGAGGAAGCGAGGGGAGGAGGGCGGGAATGCCCTTAGGAGGAGGAAGCGAGGAGGGAGGAGCGGGGAGAGGAGGAGGCGGTGGGAGTGTGGAGTGAGTTGGCAGCGGCTAGTAGTCGTGGCCGCAGAGGTGAGAGCGGCGGTGACGTCGTCGTAAGGGTCGCGGTAGCAGCAGGCGGCGTCGATGGTACATCGCGACGGCGTGAGGCCGCGACATGAGACCACGGCGGCTATGTAAGGGTGTGGTGGCGAAAGTGATAGCAGCTGTTGCAAGAGGCAACGAAAGCAGGTCGCGTGGGCGGAAGATTGCTCCGCGTCGGCGAAATGCAGTGGCAGCGTCGGATTGCTCCGCGTCGGCGAAAGGCAGTGGCGGCGGCGGATTGCTCCGCGTTGGCGGAAGGCAGTGGCGGCGGCGGATTGCTCCGCGTCGGCGGAAGGCAGTGGCGGCGGCGGATTGCTCTGCGTCGGCGGAAGGCAGTGGCGGCGGCGGATTAGGTCACGACGAGCGCCCACGTTCGTCGTGGCAGTGGCGCCCGTCCGCGATTTAGGTCACGACGGTCAACGTGGCCGTCCCGTCGGTCGCGCTGATCGTGCCGACGGTCGACGTGGCCGTCCCGTCGGTCGCGCTGACCGTCCCGACGGTCGCGCTGGCCGATCCGACGGTCGGTGTGGCCGTTCCGACGGTCGCGCTGGCCGTTCCGACGGTTGGCGTGGCCGTTCTGACGGTCGGCGCGTTCGTGGGAGAGAGGGGAGGGCCGTGAGAGGCGGAATTGACCGTAGGAAGGGGGGGAGGGGCGCTGGAATTTAGCGCAGGGGGAGGGGGGCCGCGACGGCGTAGGAGCGCACTAGGCGCGAAGAGCGACGTAGTGTCGCGTGAGGGAGGGGGGGCGTGATGCGGCACGTGGTAGGTGCGGTCCTTAGGATCTAAGATGGTGTGAGCCGTAGTTGCTCTGAATACCATGTGAGAAACTGAAGTGTTGGTTTGATTAGAATGATGGTGGGTACATATAGGAGATGAAACGTATGGGGAACTAGGTTGGGTACCTGCAACATTATTGGTGAGCCAATAGGAGTGGCCACCAATAATGTTTTGGAGGTAGCTGCCAATTATTGGGGGACCTGGTTCACCCCGCCAATTATGGCAGAGTGGGGTTGGGACGCGTCCAACCAAAACTGGTTGGGGCGCTTTGGCCCAAGGTGTACACCCATGTTTGGGTGTTACACTTGCACATTTACAACCCAACTGATGCTATAATCTAACATGCCTTTGGTAAGCTGTGCCTTTGGTAAGCTGTGCCTAAGCTGTGCCTTTGGTAAGCTGTGCCTTTGGTAAGCTGTGCCTTTGGTAAGCTGTGCCTTTGGTAAGCTTTGCCTTTGGTAAGCTGTGCCTTTGGTAAGCTGTGCCTTTGGTAAGCTGTGCCTTTGGAAAGCTGTGCCTTTGGTAAGCTGTGCCTTTGGTAAGCTGTGCATTTGGTAAGCTGTGCCTTTGGTAAGCTGTGCCTTTGGTAAGCTGTGCCTTTGGTAAGCTGTGCCTTTGGTAAGCTGTGCCTTTGGTAAGCTGTGCCTTTGGTAAGCTGTCTTTGGTAAGTTGTGCCTTTGGTAAGCTGTGCCTTTGGTAAGCTTTGCCTTCGGTAAGCTGTGCCTTTGGTAAGCTGTGCCTTTGGTAAGCTGTGTCTTTGGTAAGCTGTGCCTTTGGTAAGCTGTGCCTTTGGTAAGCTGTGCATTTGGTAAGCTGTGCCTTTGGTAAGCTGTGCCTTTGGTAAGCTGTGCCTTTGGTAAGCTGTGCCTTTGGTAAGCTGTGCCTTTGGTAAGCTGTCTTTGGTAAGCTGTGCCTTTGGTAAGCTGTGCCTTTGGTAAGCTTTGCCTTCGGTAAGCTGTGCCTTTGGAAAGCTGTGCCTTTGGTAAGCTGTGCCTTTGGTAAGCTGTGCATTTGGTAAGCTGTGCCTTTGGTAAGCTGTGCCTTTGGTAAGCTGTGCCTTTGGTAAGCTGTGCCTTTGATAAGCTGTGCCTTTGGTAAGCTGTGCCTTTGGTAAGCTGTCTTTGGTAAGCTGTGCCTTTGGCAAGCTGTGCCTTTGGTAAGCTTTGCCTTCGGTAAGCTGTGCCTTTGGTAAGCTGTGCCTTTGGTAAGCTGTGCCTTTGGTAAGCTGTGCCTTTGGTAAACTGTGCCTTTGGTAACCTGTGCCTCTGGTAAGCTGTGCCTTTGGTAAGCTGTGCCTTTGGTAAGCTGTGCCTTTGGTAAGCTGTGCCTTTGGTAAGCTGTGCCCCTACGTAGCACTGTGCTTTGTTTGTCAAAACTAGGAGTGTCGATGGATTCGTGGGGTTCGAATAACTCTTGCTTGTAGCTTCAGAAGCCTTGACACAAGCGTTGACCCACACAACGCAGAAAACTCGAAACACAGCCAGTGTAAAGCTGCAAGAACAAACTTTCCCTGCTGCAAATACGCTAGTTCCCAACTTCAAGCACACCCTCTCTTCAGCCATCTCATAGCACAAAGTTGACTATGTGCTGAGATACGACCATGGATGTGATGAAGGCTTTGCTTTGAAAGCACCCTTGCTCATCGATCAAAAGCTTGCACTTCAGGGCCAAGCTGGTACAGACTTTAGGCTCTGCTGTAACCGCACCCTCCCACATCCCTTTCAGAAACCTGTCCCCATCACCCCCCATTTCCTCCCCCTCCCCCCCCCCCCCCCCTATCCCACCCAGTGGCCGGCTGCTCATAACGAACTCACCTGTCGTCATCATGGCCCTGACACCCCCTGCCCCCATGTCCCCACCTCAGCGACCGCCTGCTAAATGGCATGATCAAATGGCCCGACCCGACCCGACCCGACCCGACTTGGGCGGGCCAGCCGGGTTCCGGGTCGGGTCAGGTCGGGTCGGATCATCAAAGATCTCTGGCCCGACCCAGGTATCGGGTGCCGGGTCAGGCTTGACCCGCCCCCGGGCCGGGTCGGGTCGGAGCCGGGTCGGGTTGGGTCGAGCCGACTCCCATAGGCAGGGTTAGAGGTTCTCTTAAATACTGTGCAGGTTCGCTGAGGGTTAGTGTTCCGTTATAAAAAAACGATTGGCTGAGTACTAACTAAACAAAATCGCACGTTATAGGGTAGATTAGTACGCCAATGTTGCTGGGTGGGTGGCTGCTGGCGTCACTAGCTAGGTAACTTAACTTAATCCAGATCGAAATGCTAGTCGTTGGGAAAACAAGCATGCGCGACTGCGATCTGGATAACATTGTCGAGAGGAAACCCTCGGGTCGGGCCAGATACCCGACCCGACATAGGGCGCGGTACCCGAAACCGGGTCGGGTTCGTAACGGGTCAAAACCCGACCCGACCCTACCCGACCCGGAATCGGGTCACGAGTCGACCCGACCCGGCCGGGTATACCCGACCCGACCCGGCCGGGTCAGCGGTTCAGAACTCCTGACCCGACCCGGGTCAAAACCCGGGTCGGGTCGGCCGGGGCGGGATGCTGATGCGTACTGCTCATCACCCACCTGTCCTCGTTGGGCCGCGTGGCAGCGGGGCTGGCCGGCATGGATGCCTTCTCCTCTCCTCTCCTCTCCTCTCCTCTCCTCTCTTAGCATGGACTGGCCATCACTTCCCTATCCCCCAACACATCCCTCCCAGTGAGCGCCTGCTGATCACACTCATGTCGCCGTCACTCCCTCCCACCCACCCTGCTCCCCTACCCCCACTGGCCCCACCTCAGCGACCGCCTGCTCATCACGCACCTGTCCTCGTTTGGTCGCGTGGCAGTGGGGCTGGCGGGCATGGAGGCCTACTCCATGGCCATCACGGTCGTCACCATGCGCCACGTGGACTGGCGCACCTCCCCTGGCCCTGTGTGTGAGCGCGTGCCGTGTGAGCCGTGTGACACCGGCGGTGGCAACGTGAAATGGGTGAGTGGTTCAATGGGAGGGTTGCTGCACTGCGCCTCTCATTCTCGCGGTCGTCAAGATGCGGCAGGTGGACTGGCGCTCCTCGCCTGGCCCCATGTGTGAGCGCGTGCCGTGTGGACTGTGCAACACCGGTGGCAGGAACATGCAGTGTAGTCTTGAGATGCCTCAAAGGAGAGAGTAGTGCCATGGGAGGGTGCTGTCATGGGAGGGTGCTGGCATGGGAGGGTGCTGGCATGGCATGGGAGGGTGCTGGCATGGGAGGGTGCTGGCATGGCATGGGAGGGTGCTGCCATGGGAGGGTGCTGGCATGGCATGGGAGGGTGCTGCCATGGGAGGGTGCTGGCATGGCATGGGAGGGTGCTGGCATGGGAGGGTGCTGGCATGGCATGGGAGGGTGCTGCCATGGGAGGGTGCTGCAATGGGAGGGTGCTGCCATGCATGCACCTCACATCTCCATACATGCCCAGTCCGCACGTGGCATACCCCGATATCACACTTCCCATCCCTTCCCCCACACCACACACGCCTCCCATCCGCCCCTTGCTTCCGTCTTCTCCGCCCCACCAGTCGGGGTGCAGTTGGGACTTCAATCTCCGCAGGCTGGCACACGGGTGGGAGCGGCCGGCAGGGTTTGGCTTGTGTGCCGGCTTCCAGTTCGGCCTGCAGGACCTCACCCCCTTGGCGTCCCAACCTCCACAATAAATCCCTTGCTACGAGGGGAAAGCTGCAGCACACCACACACATACATGCCTCAAGCCATCCAGGTTTGGCTTCCAGCTCGGCTTTCAGGACCTCAGCCTGCTCGTCTCTCAACGGCCACCATAGTTCCTTCCTCTGCCAGGAGGGGCAAGGTGCAGCATACCGCGCACCACGCACGCACGTAGGAGCCTCAAGCCAGCGAGGTTTGGCTTCTGCACCGCCTTCCAGTGTCGCCTCCAAGGCATCGGCCTGTTCGCCTCACAGATGCCGTAGCGCTTGTGTGCCGGCTTCAATGATATGGCACCATACCAATGTGGGTGCAAGCAGTAGAGCTCAATGCAGGGCATGAATGCATGACCACAGCCCCTTTCCCTCCCAACGTAACCGCCACACCGGTGCTTTCGTTGCTCCTAGTGGCAGCACGACCATGCTGGTGCAAGCTGTACCATACACCCCTGTAAGCACGGATACGGCTTAGGCAGCGCAGGAGTAGCTTTTGTGCTGGCTTCTATAGTGGCCTATGAAGATTCTTTCCTGCCATCTCAAGCGCAGCACGGATCGAAATCCCTGCGATTAGGCGGGTGGCTTGCGGGGATTCCGACTGAGCGCAGAAATGGTTTGGGATTTGGCTTAGCTGTTGCCATGGTAGCTTCGAAGACGGGTAAAAGCTGGACAACGAGAGATGTCCAGCAAGTGCCACTCTGCTGTTGGCAAATAAATTATGTTTCCTAAACCGACTCAAATAGTGTTTCAAATTGTTTATATTACTACTACTACCGTATTTACCCTTGTGAGAGTTTCCTTCACAACTCTGATGCATGATTGACCAGCGACAAAAAAAAGTATTCCGCGTGAAGTGTCAACGGGAGTTGGTCCACTGTTCACCCTCAGTAAACTTGAAAACCAAGTTGTACTTACGTGCAGCCATATTGAGTCTAGCACACGTAGTGCGCTCCGCTTTTCTAGACCACAAGAGCGCGTAATATCGCTTTCAGACAATGGCGGCGTGATGTCTAGAACCTTGCAGCAGTCTGACGGTTTTCCCCCCCAACGAAATTAATATTAGCCAGCAACAAGAAAAGCGTCACCCGTCACGCCCAAATCTACAGGGTCGATGGAGCTCGCATGTTACGTTCGAAGCGCACGGATCAAGCGCACGGAACGGGCCCTAGCCTCACATGTACGTTCGACGCACCCGTCGCACCCTCTTACGCCCATCAAACTACCTCCCGCCGTCGCCCTACTGCCCGTCGCTCTCCCTAGCGCTCGTCGCACTCACTTCCGCCGTCGCCCTCCCTTCCGCCGTCACCTTCCCTTCCGCCCGTCGCACTCACTTCCGCCGTCGCCATGCCTTCCGCCCGTCACCCTCCCTTCCGCCGTCGCCATCCCTTCCGCCCGTCACCTTCCCTTCCGCCCGTCGCACTCACTTCCGCCGTCGCCATGCCTTCCGCCCGTCACCCTCCCTTCCGCCGTCGCCATCCCTTCCGCCCGTTGCCCCCCTTTGTCTCGTCGCGCTCCCTGCTGCTCATCGCCCTCCCTCCGGCTCGTCCCCTCGCAATCCCCGTATCTCTCTCCCCTCGTCGCCCTGGCATTCCCGTCACTGCTTCCCCCGTGTCCCTTCTCTGCTTCCCCCCATGTCCCCGTCCCTGCTTCCCCCCACGCCCTTCCATGCTTCCCCCCATGTCCCCTTCCCTGCGTCCCCATGTCCCATTCCCTGCTTCACCCCATCCCCTTCCCTGCTTCCCCGTGTCCCCTTCCCTGCTTCACCCCATCCCCATTCCAGGTTCCCCCCAGCCCCTTCCCTGCTTTCCCCCATCCTTCTCTGTGCTTCCCCATGTCCCTTTCCCTGATTCCCCCCATCCGCATCCCTTCTTCCCCCCATCCCCTTCCGTTTTATTCCCCCATCCCCTTCCCTGCTTCCCCATGTCCCCTTCCCTGCTTCCCCATAACCCTGGGTGTAAATTTAATAGACCCGGGGTCTAATCCTATGTGCATTTAAAGTTTGAAAGTCATGTAAAATACCAGTGTTCCAGGCCCAGAAACGAGAATTCCAATGTTGAGTCAGGGAAATTTTGACCACAGCCTGACGCGAGGCACTCGCGCGTCAGATTCTGCAGTCAAGTGAGTGAAATTTCGCTACAGCAAGTTGTCCCTTCCTACATTCTCGCTAAAAATAGAGGTGTATACAGTGAGGGGGGTCTAATCCGAATTCGTTACGAAAAAGGGGGGTCTATTACAAAAGTGCACATAGCATTAGAACCCCCCCCATTTAACGACCCAGGGGTCTATAATTATGGGGGGTCCATTACCCGGGTAAATACGGTAATACATACATACCGTGTGTATGATCCATTCAACTACCCAAAGTGGAGAGGAGACTGCACTGCCCCACACCTTTGCCTAGGGGTTCTGCCGTGTGCTTCTTCGTCATTCTGTGGTACCGACAGCTGGCTGATTCTGCACTGGCGACGAAATTCAAAACATGTACCACCGTACCGTATCATTCACATTTGTACCTAAACCTATGAACGCCTCAGTGGGTTTAGGAACGAAGTCGAGATGGCTATAGATGCACTATTTGAACCACTACAACAGTCTACCCAACAAAATACAAGTGCATCATACACACTGCTTTCGAATCTCCTGCATGTTTGGGCAGAGACACAAGACTCTAGAGGACTTCACTTGGCTCGATGTTCTCAGCATTCTCTTGCCTTGATCTGCATCAGCCCACCACATTCCATGCGCACAGCCACACGTTTATGCACGGGGAGGGAGCGCAAACAGAGATGTCGTAAGACCTTAACAACTTTTGTCAACCTCACAATCTGCCGTCTGAGAACATGCACGGACAACAGCGTGGGTTTACCCCCAAGCCCACCCACTCAAGTCCCCCCCAACCCAATCCCACCCACTCAAGTCCCCCCCAACCCAATCCCACCCACTCAAGTCCCCCCCAACCCAATCCCACCCACTCAAGGCCACCGACTCAGCTCACCTCATCGATGCTCCTGCGCTCTTCCCCCTTGCCACACTGGCAGCAGCACCCCTCGACCTGCCCCCATTGGCAGCACCAGGCGCAGCTCTGCTGAGCCCGGCAGCACCGGAGGAGGGGAGGGACGGCACGGTGCGCGTTACAGTTGACACGCCGTCGATGAACTTGGTGCGGAAAATGACATTTTCATTGTTGAACATGCCCTCCTTGACCATTATGAACTGCCGGAACGAAAGATGGGAGAAATGAGTGTGGAGGCAGGTGGTGGGGGCACGGGGACGGTAGTGAGGCAGAGTGGAATATGTGATTCTACAGAGGTGATTCTACCGAGGTGATTCTCTTATGGTAAGTCTATGGGCTGAAGTGCCGTGTTCAAAGATTGAGAGCCGGAAACGCAGCGTGCAAAATAAGGCATGAAACCAGGATTTTGACAACTCTCGTGGGGTGCGCATGTACCTGGGAGTGCGGGAAGTGCTGTTTGATCATGTGGCCTATGTACTGCGTGTGGTTCAGATCCAACGCTGCATCCACCTGCCCAGGGGAGAAACAGAGCAACACATGTTGACGATAGCCAGTTGAGTGAGTTCACCAAGTCACAAGAGGCAAGGACTAAATGCGATGGAAATATCTTGGTGATGAAAACATGCTCTGGCTCTCCACACATAACACACACTCTCACCGCACCCATGCTGTGCAGAGGCATCACTCTCTCACCGCATCACAAGCTGTGCAGATGCCTCACTCGCTCACCTCGTCCAGAATGTAGAGCGGCGCGGGCTTGAAGAGCAGGAGGGCAAGGATGAGGGAGAGGGCGAGCAGGGAGCGCTGGCCGCCAGAGAGCTCGGAGAGGGAGTGCTTCCACACGCCGCCGAACGCCACCTTCACCTCCAACCCCGCCAGGAAGTCCTGCCCCTCGGGGGGGTCCAGCTTGGCTGTTGTGCCGGGCAGCAGAGTGGAGAATATCGACCCGAAGTCCCTGCGGGTGGGAGGGCGAGGCGAGGTGGGGAATGTGGATCCCAGATCATGGGGAAACGAGGTTAGGATGAAAGAAGTGCTAGGAGAAGTGGATTGTGGTGGCAAGGACATGAGGCGACAGTGCCATGAGGGGGTGGATAGTGAACGGGCTCCTTCAACGCCCTCGCTTCCCAGCTGTAAACGGGCTGACGTACTTGCCAGAGGACATCTTAACAGAAAACGATTGGCTTCACAACAAACACTGTTCTTTCCTCACCGCACATCCGTTCCTCCTGTACTCCCCCCATCCCCCATCCCTCATCCCCCATCCTCCCTTCTCCTCCCCCACATTCTTCACCGTCCCGTCTGTCTTTCCCCCAATCCTCACCCCACCATCCCTCCCTGCTCTCTTCCCTCCACCCTCTTCAGACTACCGCCTCAACTACCATGTTGGGGAGAAGGATGCTATATGCCATGAGTGACTCGTTGTAATACTTTGCTTTCGCGCCGTCAGTGTCGCTAGTGGGGCCGGTTTAACTTCTGTCGAAGTAGCAGAAAATTTGTGCGTTTTGAAGAAATAGTTCGAGCTCAAAATGTCAGAATCAGTGAACGAGAATGAATGAACTATGAAAGAGTTTGGTACAAGTACTAACCCTAATTGGGTTGTACCCCATATTGGCTACCCTACTACAGCCTACACAACACAATATTCTGACACACCCCCATAGGCAAAGTGGGGGAGTACAAGGGGTCACAAGACCACTCACTAAAAAGCAAGGCAAGCCCAGGGTGGATCACAAAGTCACCACACAGTCCGAGCACAAGCAAATGGCCACAAGGCCAGTTCACATGCAGAGTTATAAAAGAGAACAAACAGTACAATGATCACAGTACAAGCAAGATCACGCAGTGAGCAAGTGAGAGAATGCAGGTACAAGGCCTAGAGCAGTACAGAGACGCTGATGATCACTAGGCGGAAGTGCCTTGGTGAAGATATCAGCAGTGTTGGCCCGAGTGGCCATGTAAGCAAGCCGAAGCTGACCATGCTGCTGCAACTCTCGAGCAAGGAAGTAACGCAAAGCGATGTGCTTCGTTCTGTGCTCCTGACACAAGGCAATCGCGGCCTTGCTGTCTATGTACAGAACCGGAGGAGAACGAGGCCGCTCTCCCAAGTCGGTCAGCAGGTAGGTGAGCCAGCGTAACTCCTGTGCAGCCATGGCTCCTACGTAGATATCAACCTCACAACTGGAGTTGAGAACAGAAGACGAGCGAGTAGACCGCCAAGAAACAGAACCGGAGCCAAGGCTGAAAGTGTAACCCTGTGACGACCGCTGCGTAGCCAGGTCGTCAACTTAAGAAGCGTCTAAGTGTCCAGTGAGGACAACGTCACCCCGTCCTCCAAGCACGAGCCCCATGCCCGATGTACTGCACAAGTAGCGCAACACCCTCTTAGCGGCCTCCCAGTGCTCTCTCTGGCCGGTATCTCCCGGGCGCAACGTAGCGTGCCAGGATGCTAAGAGGGTACGCAAGGTCAGGTCGAGTGCAGGTCATCAGGTACATGAGGCAGCCTACAAGCTCTGGATACGGGCCACTCGGCTCTACGGACTCGTCCGAAGGTGGAGCTGAGAGCGAGTGACTGGTAGGCAGAGGAGTGGACTGTGGCGAGGAAAACCGGTTGCTGAAGGACCTGGTGCACCATGTGTGACTGAGTTAGGGTGATGGTGCGCCGTGCTCTGTCCCGGGTGATCTGCAAGCCAAGGTAGTTGCGCAGCTCACCCAGGTCTGTGCACGTGTGTCTCTTCTGCAGCTCCGACTTCACAATGGCGTGTCCCTCCGTGTCAGCAGTGGCAAAGACCAAGTCATCAACGTACACGAGGATGTAGAACGGCGACAGCGAAGTGTCGGTGCGCAGAAACAGCGACGGGTCAACAGTGGAAGGAGCAAACCCAAGAGCCGCAAGTGTCGTCCTTAGTGTGTCGTGCCACTCACGCGGCGCCTGGCGGAGACCGTAGACTGGCCGTCGGAGGCTCCACTGGGTACCCTCAGGAAACAAACAAGTGAAGCCACGAGGACAGCACAGCCAGGTCTCCTCGTGCAGGCTGCCTTGTAAGAAAGCTGTGCTGAATTCAAGAGAGTGAAGCTCGTAGTCACACTGAGCGGCAATGTGAAGCAACACCCGAAGAGTGGTCATCTTCGGGGTGGGGGAGAAGGTCTGGAAGAAGTCAACTCCTGTCGCCGACTAAAGCCTCGTGCAACGTATCGAGCCTTGAAGATAGGCGAAGAACCCGGCGGCCGCTTCACCCTGAAAATTCACATGGCGTCGACAATGTTCGCCCCAGGAGGGGGAACTGCGTCGACATAAGTGTCTGTGGACTTCCAGGATGCCATCTCTGCGTCCATGGCTGTCTGCCACTAAGAGGAGTAGGGACCCGAGATCGCCTCTGTGTAAGAGCGCGGGGTCGGGATGTCCAGTGCATCCGGGTCTCCCTCAGGTAAAAGCAACATGGCCACGAGATGAGGTACAGTGGCTGCAAGACACTCAAAGTCCTCTTGCCTGTCCTCAAGGACGTCCGTGCCAAGAGCACACTCACCCGCGTTAGACGGAGGACAGACAGACTCAGACTCAGCAACAAGACTAGCGGCGTAGTCTAGACGACACGCAGCAGCAAAGTCAACAAGCTCAGAGACTAAGGAAAACACAGCCGTGGACTCAAAAGGAGGGTCAGTGACAACAGTGGCGAGGAGACGCGTGACAGTAGGGCTGGCAGCACGAACCAGGTCAGACTCAGGGTCGGGAACGGTGGGAAGAGAGGACGCAGGAGGAGACGGCAGGGGGACACGCTGTGGAACAGAGGAAGGACGAAGTGCCATAGTGTGCGTGCCGGGGACAGGTGGAGGACGAGGACGGGGAACACGACGAGCACGGCGAACAGTGCGAACTGGTGAGGGCGGACGAGACACAGGCTCACGACGCTCTGTAAGGGAGACTGGCTGCTCAGTGTAACGAGGAGGGGCAGGCAACGGTGAGTCTGGAGGAAGGGCAATGGACGAAGGAAGACCAAGAACCTGACGGAGGTAGGTTGTAGCAGTGACAGCTGCGGCGGCGGCAAGAAAAACGGTCGCTGCTGCACAGTGCCTCCAGCACCAATACTGCCAGCTCTAGTGCCTCCAGTGTCAGCACCTCCAGCTCCAGGGTTAACAGCTCCAGCGCCTCCAGCACCAGCGCCTCGCCCCACTAGCTCCAGTATCTCCAGCACTAGTACCTCCTGGACCAGCAACACCAGTACCTCCAGTACCTCCAGCTCCAGTACCTCTAGCTCCAGTACCTCCAATACCAGCAGCCCCAGGACCTCCAGCTCCAGTACCTCCAGCGCCTCCAGCTCCAGCGCCTCCAGTGTCAGGGCCTCCAGCTCCAGGGCCTCCAGCTCCAGCGCCTCCAGCTCCAGTGTCCACAGCGTCAGTGCCTCCAGCTCTAACGCCTCCAGCGGCAGTGCCTCCAGCTCCAGCAGCGCCACTCCGAAGGCGGGTGCGCCGAGCAAACCACTCGCGCAGCTGCTATGGTGAAAGAGGCTCCCACCAGCTATACCGCTGCAGCGAGGCACCCTTAGGACCTTCAGCAGACGCAGCACCTCTAGGCTCAGCACCCCCAGGCTCCGCACCCCCAGACTCAGCACCCCCAGGCTCCGCACCCCCAGGCTCCGCACCCCCAGGCTCCGCACCCTCAGGCGTAGCACCCCCAGGCTCCGCACCCTCAGGCTCAGCACCCCCAGGCTCCGCATGCTCCGGCTCAGCACGCTCAAGCTCAGCACCCCCAGGCTCCACACCCGCAGGCTCAGCACCCCCAGGCGCAGCACCCCGAGCAGCACCACCCCCAGCAGCACCAGAGTCGCCAGTGACCTCGACAGGCTCAGCCAAGGGAAGTGGGTCTACCTGAGACACACCTGAAGGAGTAGGACCCTGAGGGGGGAGGGGGTCTACCGGAGGGGGACCTGGAGCGAGTAGGAGCGGAGGGGGGGGGAGAGGGGCAGTGCGGTATAGGAAGAGATGGTAAAAGGGAACCGACTCGTCAAACGTGACGTCCTGAGAGGGCAGAACCCGGCGCGAGGTGGGGTGGTAAAACTGCCAGCCAGGCGCGTCAGGGGGAAAGCCAAGGAAGACGCAGGGAATGGCGCGAGAGGAGAGCTTGTCCACGGTGGTATCGCGGACAAAGGCACGAGAGCCCCCGACCCATAACCGCGACGCATCACCAACCTCCCCCGTCCAACGCAGTGTAGGCGAGGTCTCCGGCAAGGAGACACAAGGCAAGAGGTTGAGCTAATGCGCAGCGTACTGGACCGCAAACGGCCACAGAAAATGGGGAGCAGCCGCATGAATCATGGAGGTACGAGCCACCTCCATGACTAAGCCAATGCGGCGCTCAGCAATCCCATTCTGCTGTGGGGAGGCCGGAAGCGTGAACGACTGGAGGATGCCCTCCCCACGACAAAAGTCCCGCAAGAGGTCGGAGGAGAACTCACCACCCCTGTCAGAGTGCAGACGCAGGACGGGAAGGTCCGTGCGGAACCGCTCGCGGAGCTGGAGACTGACATCGCGGATCCAAGGGATCAAGACATCAGGGACCTCCCCCTTGCTGCGCAAGGGGAAGACCGTGGTGTAACGCGAGTAGTCGTCAACAACCAGCAGGAAGGTTGGTCACATTCAGTACCGCTCGCGACCCTGTCCACGGACACGGGCTGGGCCCCACACGTCCATGTGGAGAGTCTGCAGGGGAGCAGTCGTCGGGGGAAATGAGGAGGAGTGAGGAGCGGCGCGCTGCCGCCCCTCGATGCAAGGAAGGCAGGGCGGGGCAGGCGAGGGCGGGAGGGGAGGCAGAGACCTGGGAAGACCAGAAACAAGGAGGCGGGAGTGCATGCCACGGAGGCGTGGCAGGGAGGGGTGACCAAGGCGGTGGTGCCAAAGGAGAGTCTGGTGCGACAGGAGTTGAGTTGAACAGGGGGCGGCTACCTGACCAGACGCGGACACCTGACCGGAAGCAGCTATTTGAGGAGGCTCAGTAGTCAGTGTGTACAAACTCAACCCAGGCCGACGGGTGAACGTGGCCAGGTGACGGCCCATCCGTGTACACGTGCAGATCGCCACACGCTGACCCCCAGTAGTGGTGGTAGTGACCATCGCATCCTGGAGGGCAGCGGTACTCACCAAGTTCGTAGAGAACGAGGGGAGGTAAAGACCTAGTAGTGAGCCAGACGGAACCACCGGGCACGGGAGAACAGTGGTGGAACGT